TTAAGTGTAAGAAAGGGCCATGTGGCCCTAACTTTGCCTGAACAAATAAAGGATTTTTCATTTCATTTTATTTCACCAAAGCCATTTTAATTTAGTCTTGTCCGCAGATTGTTGACTTTATCTTGTACTTGTAGATAGTCGTTTGGATTTTAAATGTTTACTCAACTATACAGAACTTTTTCCTTTTCTCAGGATAGAAATTTCATAAAAATATTTTTCTCCAAGTTCACAGCATTTATCTATTAACTATGTTAGTAAATTAGTTTTAAAGCCTTACACCATTGGATACACACACATGAAGAGTGTGTTTTTGTGATACTTTTTGCCATTCTAAAGTCACATCTATAATATTTAATATTTACAGATCAAGAAGAGCGGTCGCGTAGTGTAGAAGCATTCCGTGCAGGCCGCAAAGACGTCTTGGTGGCTACTGATGTCGCTTCTAAAGGTCTCGACTTCGCTGATGTCCAACATGTCATCAACTATGATATGCCTGATGATGTGGAAAACTATGGTAAGGATATGCCCACATTGTATGTCAGTTATTCTTTTAAGTTTAAATTGGTCACACAAAGTGCCTTTTGTTATTGTCACTGTGAGATTTGATTCACTAATCTTATGTCTTTAGTAGAGCAAATATCACTTCACTTAAAGCTTTTACTTTTATTTTATCATAACATTGCTTTTAACGTAATTACATTAAAATAAAACTAGATATAACAATCATGATTAACAAATTACATTTTAACTTTTTCTAATGCCCATAAGATTTGTATTTCCATCCATCATTTAGACTCCAAGTTAATGTTTTTACAATTTAACAGTTCCGGTGATGCTTACAATCAACAATTATTTAGCAAATCATTGTGTAACTTTTAACTTTTGAATATTAACTTTGTGTAATGCTGACTCATCCGTCACTTATTAGTACTTACTATCATTACTTGTCTTGGATAGGTCTGTCTGAGTAGATATCCTAAAAATCAGATTAAAAGTTTTAAAGAAAATTTGTAACCCTTAATGGCCCAATTAATTGTCCCTTTTTATGTTAAATACTATATAGATATTTATGATTCCAGTGCATCGTATTGGTCGTACTGGAAGGTCTGGACGTACTGGTATTGCCACAACTTTCATCAACAAAGCCAATGATGAGTCTGTTCTCTTAGATCTAAAACATCTTCTCATCGAGGCCAAACAAAAAGTACCTCAGTTCTTGGCTGAATTACAAAGCGAGAATGAAAAATACCTTGAACTTGGAGGTGAGTACTTTGTCATTTCCGTTTATTTTTATTGGATACCCCTCAAGACCCAAGTACCGCTAAGGGAATGTCAGCACATGTTAGTGATGTGATACACTTAATCCTGAAGTCATAATAGTATTACCTTTGACTATCCCAATAGTCGAATAGTATTACATTCAAATTTATATGATTAGAACACCAAGGAACCAGTAAAAAGATTTAACCATCAAAAATTATAATTAAGCCTACTGTAGAAGTTTGGTGACATATTAGACTAAAGAATTTGTTGAATTAGATACTTATTGCGTTTGAAAATTGAGTTCAACTTTTTGATAGCGCAAGTGTAATGGAAACTATTATCCAGTTCATTCAGGGGTTTATTATATCTCGGCAGTTTTTTTAGCAAAGTAAACTTTTCTAGGTTTCAAATCAAATCAAATAATCTTTATTCATTTTTTTGTATTTACATGAATACATTGAATAGAGTCACATTTCTTATAACTAATGTCCTTAATTAAAATATGATGGTTACAAATAAAACTGTTTTATGTTGTTGTATGACAATGACACTAATAATTCTTTTTTTAATTTTATATTCCTTGAATAAAAAAAATAGTTTACCTTTAATGGTAGTTTTGGGAACTGAAAATGTTTTCTAGTTAAGCTTGAATTAAGCATGTTCAACTGTATCAAGGAAGGAAGTCTTACTTGTAGTGTTTCTCTTGTTAAGTTTAAAATGCTCTTGACGTTGCAGATGAACGAGGCTGCAGCTACTGCGGTGGTCTGGGACACAGGATCACAGATTGTCCAAAACTGGAGGCTATCCAGAACAAGCAAGCATCCAACATTGGCCGCAGAGATTACCTCGCCAGCAATGCTGCTGACTACTAACGTGTTACACTTACAACAAGAACTGTCCTTGCAATCATATGTTTCAACATGGATTACCCTATGTGTATTTTTACTTGTAGGACAAATTTCCTCACACGTTAGTTTTCCTAACATGTGGACTCCTTACTATTATTACACTGTCTAGTAAAAAAATAGTTATGCATTAGGCCTATACTAGGACAATAGCATGTATATATGTATTATATTATATTTTTTATGTAAGTAAAAACAATTTGTGAATAGAATTGTTTTCTTAAATCCTTGGGGTCAAATTCACAGTTGTTTCATATAGAAACATTTTAACTGTTTCTGTTTAGTTCTGTAGTTTGAAAGAAACTAGATCCTCAAGGTGTGTATTTTTAGATTTTATAAACCTTATTGTATGGTTCACACTTTTTTGAAACATTTTAATAATCCTCATAGTAAACTAATGGTTTTAATTTTAAGCTCAAACCACTTACAGCTTTCTCTTAGAGTACAATGTTTTACTATTATATGTACCAGCGCTACTATTTAACTAAATGATAATTGTAAATACGAACAAGCCCCTATGCTAATAAGCAAAAAGCACAAAGTATAAAAAATGTAAACCCATTTCAAGCCAGGTACTCTTCTGGTAAGAGAGAAAGCTAACCAAAGCTACAAGGTGGCCCTTAAGCTTGGCTATGGCAATGCAACTTTTAAATCCATAAAACATAATATGGCGATAACACATCATGCTTTGTACGGTTAAAAAGGGATACTAAATTACAGTCAATTTGATCAAAGGGTAAATTATAAACAGGCTACATTTATTTTTTAGTCTTTTTATAAACTGCTGTTTAGTTGATACATTATATAATTATATTGCTAGAAGGGATAAATGAAATAAACAAATTGTGAAATAATATACTTTACTAACCAAAACAGTAAATATAATGTGCATCTCTAATATGAATATTGTATGTACATACCACATTTGGTCCAAAAATTTCATCAAACGGTACCAGTCTGATTATTCAGGCTGTATTGCTCAAATCAGTGCGTAACTAGGCCTTAACAAATCATCCTTCTAAAATATAATACTTTAGAGAACTATTTTACAAATGATCTTTGATTAATATGTACATATCTATAGATACAAAGTGGTAAAATAATTGTTATCATTTCAGTTTAAATAACTATCCATTAACTCTTGCGGACTGTACAAAAATATTCGTGTAGCTTACTATAAAAAAGTAACTGATGTAAAAGTTTGATTGAAAATGTTATGGGTTAACTACCACAAAGATCTTTAACTTTTCTCTTCAAAAAAAAAAAAAAAAAAAATGTATAACTATACAATTTTGTGTTGCATACAAAGATTCACTGACAACGTTACAGCAACAGAATTGTTAGTAGTGCTGTCTGTAAAAACCAGCAAAAGGCAATTTTTTGTAGTGAAAAATTAACATTTTTCAAACCAAACATGGTGCTAAATGGAGACCTACAAAAATTGGCAACATCAACAAATGTTACAACAACAAAGGTGTAAAACTACCAGCTGACACAATTGTGATTAGAGTGTGTCAATAAAGCCAACTTACATAAAGAAAGATTGAAAATAAAATAATCGATTGAAAATAAAATAATCAATTTAAAAAAATGTTCAGGTTATCACAAAAAAAGCAACGAAATAGTCATAATTTTTAATTGATAGAATTTCATCAAATAAAATGTGGTCTACACAAATTAAAAAATAAAGTAATGCCAAAAATCTTAATTATTCTTAAAAAATAAAGTGTTCCAAAAATTATTTAATCCTAACAACGAAGACAAATCACAACTAGTTGTCTTATAGAAAGGATGGTGAAATAAACAAGAATATATAAGTATCTTAAATATATTACTCTAGAACAAGATAGTGTCTTTACATCAAAAATCTAATAATTGTAAACTCCAAATGATTCGCTAAAAATAATTTACAATACATATAAAGCTTAACAACATAAAAATGATTGCACAATCGTTGGATTCACACAAAAACTGACCAAAAATTAATTTTGTAGGTAAAAAAATAACTAAAGAAAACAATTTAAAACAGAAAGGTGTATGCAATTTTTTAAATTTTCCAGGTACAGGAATCAATGTATGAAATCTGAATGAAGAAATACTGAATACTAGTATAAACAATCATACATAACATTTTTAACTTTTTCAAATCTGTTGATATTGATAGAATAAGGACTTTCTAGGCAAATTCCTTAAGATTTTGTTAAGTTCCTTAATTTCACCTAATGTTAATGAAAACATTTCTGTAAAAATTATTGTATCGCCTAGCTATGTTTTATTATTGGTATTTGTAATTGAAGTTATTATAATAAACGTGTTTTATTAAAATTGCCTAAACATAACAAAACGCCATTGTGATGAATAGCAAACAAAACTTCTGAAAAAAAACTCTTTGGTATTCTCCTTTTATGTTTTATCTAATTTGCTTTAAAAATCTGGCTGTTTAGAAAAAATGCAGCTGTACTATTTTAATTCAATTTCCCAGGATAATATGTTCATTTGTCCCACGTTAGATGGGTCATTTCAGTTAAGTTACTCAGTAACATTCGTCGGTAGAAATAGTTAAAAATATCCTCGCCAAGAATCCTTAGCTAGCTACTTCCAAGTCAGATTATTTGATGATAAATAAATCACAGAACCGATGCCTTACAAAAATATGTTTCTTTTGCCTACAACAGAATGATGCATAGGTTTATCCAATGAAATAGATTTGTTTAAAAAGAATAAACCTTTTTCTAACATTATAAATTTTAAGTGACAAACCTAAACTCATCAAACTAAATAGACTCAATTTTAATCCCGCCTTGAAACCCCCCCCCCCCCCGATACATCATTTACAAAATTAGAAATACAGTATATATTTTGTAAAATATGGAAACCTTGAATTGAACATATTTGTAAGTAAAAAGTAATACTTGAAATGTTAGCAGCAGTATCAAGCTAAAACCTGTATAGAACGGCTTCCCATTTTCAACATCAAACGTCAAGATGTAACAACCAATAAAATGTCAACATGAAAAGTTATAACATTGATATATCTATAGCATAACAATTTTATAACAGCATTTAAGCTACCATTGCCACTGCAAGATTCAAAATAACAAATGTTAAGATAAAGGCAGTTAGGTGTATGTAGTATTTAAAGTTAAAGTTGAATACATTGCAAATTCATCAGACTCAATAACTTAATAGGTAGGCCTACCTTTCTTGTCAAATTTATTATAACATAGAATTGTAATTAAATTTATGTGTATTAGAGATAAGAATAGCCTATATCAAGTGATTGTTAGTTTGGGCTAGGAAGCTAAAACTCCCTAATTAATGAATAAAATTTTGTTTTCTTGAAATTAGTGGAAAAGCCTATACAGGATTTGAATCATAAGCCTAAAACAAAACTCCTTACAAAATTACTCATTACGATTACATTATTAATGCGATCACCCTAATGTTTTTTAGAAACATTTTAAACAGCTAGTATCCAAAATGATTAACTTAGTAGTGTTGATCTTCTAAACAATAACCAATAAAATTTTATAAAAACAAAACACTTACTACTTATGATTATAAAAATACCTCACTAGTTAGAGAATAAAACACTTAAAATGCACTTAAGTTTATGTACAGCTTTCAATTCAGTCTCCTCTGGTTACTTTGGTCCATCCTGGAACATAAAATCTCACTGTAAACTGAATCTCCAAAATGCAGTTAATATCCATGATAAAATTACATTAAAGGCTCAGAATTGTTCAAACCAAGGTTATTGCTTACTGAATAAGCTCATAACCCACTTAACATTATTTAATTTACCAAAATATTATTGGTTGTGATTTTGGACCAACTTTTTTGTACATTTTATACAGTACCTCATAATGTTGGTCAAATGAACAAACGAGGGATTGTCAAGGTCACCTGAGTTGTGAACCTATAAATAGTTGTAGTAAAAACTGTGCAATAATATACTTTAATCGCGTGTTATTTGTCTTTGGCTATAATTATTTTTTTAACTATTCTACCTAACAAAAAGTTGCCATTAGATGGCTTAGATAGGGTTTGAACCATTGACAATTAGATAGTGTCAATGCATAGTTGTGTGACCCAGTCACAGAATGTGCTAGTGTCTTAAATTCTATTGTCTACCTTAACACTAATACCGAAACCCCACCTAGGCTGACATTAACCGAAACCCCCGGTCTGTGAGACCCAATTTGAAAAATAATGGACCCCGCTTAGAAACACACAAACCGAAACCCTCGGTCTGTGAGATCACGCTTTAAAATACACTAATGCTGGGCTTCTGAGACGGACATGTTATGAACAGACGACCTGTCAAGGTCACGGCACCCATGCAAAATGAACAAATGATATATCAATAGGTAGGGGAGGAAAAGGGGGGAAGGTATTGGGGGAATGGAATCCACCAAGTAAACAGTGTTGCCAACATGCATTTTGAAAATTCCCATGGGCCTGCCAGACCGGGGTTTCGGTATTAGTGTTAATTGTTGTGGCTTACCAAGTTGATGGGTCATAACAGTTGCTATAAGAATAAGAAATATTTATCTCCATTGATCTTTATAAAAGAAATAGGACACGTCATTGTTATACATAGTTACAAGGTGATTCAGTGTTTACAGTACAAAATATCTAAATTTAAATAGCCACTTACATGAAAATAAAAGCTTTATTTCAACTTACCATACTCTTTAAAAATCTAATGTTTATTTCACAACTTAAAAAATCATCAATTTTGTAAAAGGAATTTTTAACAATCCAGTCATACAGTTTATTTTTAAAAATACTGTAAGAAACTAATTTTGCTTCTTCAGGCAGCTTATTAAAAACATTATACAATTTAATTTATGTGAATGTTTGGTTTTTGCCAATCTGTGCTGCAATATATCTATTTTATCCCTACCTCTTGTATAGTGATTATTTACGTCTTTTCGGAAAGAGAATTGATCTAAGCTTGACTTTGTATATATTAGAATTTGGAATATATAAAGATTTACTATGGTTGGTATCCTGAAATTAATGAAAAGAGGTTTACAATGTGTATCTGAGCATTCTCCAGCAATGCTTCGAACCGCCTTTTTCTGGAGTAAAAGGATGTCATTAATATGTGGAGAGTGGCCCCACAAAATAAGACCATATAGTATGTGCGATTGAAAGAGTCCAAAATACGCCAATCTTAAATATTCTTGACTAACAAAATCCTTAAGTTTCCACAGCAAGCACCTCACTCTTGAAATTTTGTTACAAACAGATTTTATGTGTGATGACCAATTTAATTTTGAATCCAAATTAAATCCTAAAAGTTTAACTGATTAAAATTTTACCTCTGTTTTAAGACTGATTGTTATATATTGTGATTTGTCAGAATTACAAGATAGTCTGTTTGCAGAAAACCAATCATATGCTCTATGTTCAGCCTCTTGACTAATTAAGCGCAGGGTTGTTAAATTAGAGTGGTTAGCGAGTAAAGTTGTATCATCCGCATATATAACAGATTGTGTATTTATATTTATAGGAAGATCATTAATGTAGACATTAAAGAAAACATGGCCCTAGTACAGAGCCCTGAGGAACACCGGTTTCAACTTTTTCAGTTTTAGAACATTTATTTTTAATTGATACCAATTGAAGTCTATTACATAAATACGAAGAAATTAGAAGCATGGCATCATTAGTGATGCCATAAAAACGTAGTTTGTTAGTTAGGATATCAAAAGGAACCGTGTCAAAAGCTTTACTTAAATCACATAAAACTAATGACACAGATTCCTTCTTTTCTAAAGTTTCAAGAGAATGGTCAACCAAAGTGAGAATTGCTGAGGTTGTGGATTTACCTCGACGAAAGCCGAATTGGGAGTTTGACAATAGGTTATTTGTTTCAAAGTAATTATTTAATTGATTATACATTACTGCTTCAAATATTTTGGAAAAAATTGGAACGAGTGAAATAGGCCGATAATTTGGAACCATTTTTTTATCACCTTTTTTGAATATTGGGATTACTTTCGATATTTTGAGGGATGGAGAAAAATATCCCTCCCTCATACAGGTATTCAATATAAAAGCAAGAGGGTAGCTAATAAAACCTATAGTCTTTTTCAAAATATTAATAGAAATCCTATAATAATCCATTGATTTAGAATTTGTTAATTTAGCAACAACTTTAATTATATCCGATGAAGAGACCTCTGACCAAGAAAATGTTGTATTTGTTGAGTTGTTTCCTAAAAAATCTTCTGCTTTGTAAGGGCTTTGTGGTATTACTTTACTTAATTCTTTTATTGAATCTAAAAAATATGAATTCATTTCATCTGGGCCAAGTATGGCATCTTGACTATGAGTTGGTGAATGCTCATCTTTAATTACCGCCCAGGCAGCACGACATGGGTTGGAAGCATTACTGATGAAGTGCTCAACTGCGTTCTTTTTGGCAAGAGTCATTTTATTTCTATAGAATCGTTTATGGTTCATATAAACATTATAAACTGCCTGAGTTAGCTCAGAACCTGTAGATCTTAAGTTTTTATGGACAGTAAAGTACTTGAGCATATCATTCTTAATTATTCTAAGCTCAGGAGTATACCATTTTATAAGCTTATTATTTTTATTATTTTTAGGTTGCCTGTCCGTTACTTTGACCAATGGGGAACAATTGTGCCATAAATTCACATATCTTTTTTAAACTATCAAACAAATGTTCAACAGTAATTTTGTTATGTTTATAATCATCAATCATTTCCCACCCTTCCTCTCTTAAGTAAGAAATAAATAAGTTTAAATTTTTGTCATTTTGCTTCCTGATAAACACACTGGAGGCTTTGTAATCAAGGCTATTTTTACTTGTATTTGATGTAGTAACCATTTCAAATAAGAGTGGAGTGTGATCTGCAAAACAGTTTTCATCACACTTAACACTATATAGGTTTTCATTAAAGTTAACAATAACATTATCTATACAGGCATTACCTCTAGTAGGCTGAAAATTTGTGATAAAAAGATTAAGAGATCTGAGTATATTGCTGAATTTAACAAACTTTAAATCATTATCAGATGGCCTGGCCATTTCAATATTAAAATCCCCTACCACTATTATTTTGGATCTATTTTTTAACATCTTTCTGATTGCCTCTTCAAACTATTAGGTTAATGTCACATATTGATGTCCCCATTTGGAGATCTGTAAATACTTAAGATTGATATATTTTCATCTATTAACTTAATACAACAAAGCTCAAAGTCAACTTCAGAGTAAAACTGTGATACATCTATAATAGAGAATTTTATACCATCCCTGACATAAATTCCAACCCCCCCATTATTTTTTGAAGCTCTACAAATTACATTAGCTGGTATACAATTTTTCGGTACATATAAATCAATTTGTTCTTGTTTAAGCCAGTGTTCAGAAACACAAATTAAATTAATATTATTTTTTTCACTAACAGATTCAAGGTACAACTCTTTGTTTCTTAAACATTGAACATTGACTTGCATCAATCTAAAAAACCCCTGCTCATATTAGGATCACCACTCAAATCAACACTTTTCATTTTTTCATGCACTTTACTAGGGGAAGAGGCTTGGTTGGGTATTTTGGATGAGTGGGGTGTTTGGATGGAATGTTCAATTGGAGAGGACTGTGGGAATAATGTACATTCAGGTTGCTGAGGTGCTTGGTAGAAATCAGTACTATTCGGAGTGGACGTTACGGTGGGATGGTGTGCCAGGCTTTTGGAGGATAATGACTGTTGAAAGAGTTCTGAGGGAGGGATCTGTGTAAGGTATGATGGATATATTGAAGTAGATGGATGTTGTGGTAGTTGTGTAACAGTAGGATATGATGAGGATTGCAATTGTTGGAGTCTTGGAAGACAATTAGAGGAGGTCGATGAAGAAGACAGCCGCAGTTGGTGCTCAGTGGGAAGATCTTGCTGCATCTGTTACACGGTAGTGACAGGTTTTTTTGGTGATGTAATCTGAGGAAGACTTGCTGTAGGTTGAGTCTCTTGAAGCTTCGTTGAGATTTGTAGTTTCAAGGTCTTGACAAATTCCTCGTGTGTAAGACCTCTCCAAAGGACTCTTTGTGCCTTTTGACTGTAGGAGATAATGTAAACTGATGCTCCTGTTGAACGATGGAAGTTTACGATGTTTTGTGTGAAGTGTTGTGGTTCAATCAGATCTCGCACACATCCCATTGCTGAACAAATTAGTGTTTTCAGACCTTTGGACTTAAAATCTTGCTCAAGCTGACTGAAAGCTTCATCATATTGATTTTTGGAAGGCTTACCATGATATTTATCTTTTGTAATGAGGCTATATACTGTAGGACCGTTTTCTATTTTTTGGTATGCCAAATACTTGTTTATAAGGTTGCAAGCTTGAGGTCTACCAAAACTATTCCTGAACACCACTGCTACCCCTGCCGACATGTGCTTTTCATCTTCAAAGTCAGCGGATATGGTGTGAGCCAGTGCTACTGACGAGTCATTTCTAAACTTGTTTATAACCTCTCTCATATTTTCCTCCAGAACAGATACACCTTTATGATTCATAGGCGCTTTACTGGAGTTCACAGGTTTGTTTGGTTTATCTGAGATACTCTTCTTTTTGTAGGTCACAATATAGGTCACAATATGTTGTTCCATTAGTTTGACTTTGTAAAGAAGTTTGTGTATTTGACAGAAATTAGTAATTTAGATAAGCACAATCAATTGGTAGTTACCTTACATCAACTTTGACGATTGTGATTTAAAAACTGGCGACAACATTAACACTAGGTGTACAGTGCAGTTGTCTGCTTGCAATATTGAGCGGAGCTAGCATATTAATCCTGCAATAAGCTTAATTGTCTACTTGCAGTATCCTAAGTCAATGGTTCATTTGATTCACATAAATGGAGTGCCTATTTGCAGTATCCAAAGCCAATGGTACATCTGGTTCACGTTATGTGGCTGCTAGAAGTAATGGTATGATTATAGCTATGTTAGTTGGAAACATTTGACTATAATGATTGTTGGAAATGTTTGCTGGGGACCAGAGAACGGGACCTTTTACCAGACCAGGAATTCAAGCCCAAGCCAGCTTTGATTACACTTCATTTATAATATTGACACCTTCCAAACTAATGTATAGACATGAAAACCTGATTGGAGCAAGTATTGATTAAATAAATCTGGTAGATGAACTGAGGAATCGTTTGGCCGGTGAGTTAATCTCTTGGAACAATGTGACTTTAAAACATGAATCAGAATACGATTTGATTACATTTTCCAGCGTAGGAGCGAAAGCCAGTAGGCTTCCCCCCTTTGAATTTGCTCCTAGCCTAACATATTGAATAGTGTTGCTTATGGTTATAATCTAAACTTAGCTTCCTTAATTATAAGGTTTCTGGGGAGGATCGCAAGTCGCAAGTAGTTGACTCCACGTAAATTCGGTTGTAGGAAGAAGGACAAGACCAAGAGCCGGGACAAGGCGGTTGAGCTTTGAAAAACGACGGATCCGAAAAAACAACCGTTGAACGGCCATGAAGCTGTGGCGCTTGTGTCACAACTAATGTAATGTCTACTTGCAGTATCCAAACTCAATGGTATCTTTGTTTCACACTAATGGAATTCAGTGGCGGCTAGCCCATAAGGACTCTTGGACGCCGCCCTCCCAACAATACATAAATTAATTACATTTTAATATTAATATTATTCAGTTAAATTTAATTAAAATTACTTTAACGAGTACTTCAAACTATATACAACATAAATATATCAAATAATTGGATAATTCAATTCAGTAAAGACTAAATTTTGATCGTCGCTTGCTTAGTAAGGATGGCGCGGACGGCGGCCAGACCGTCCCAACCCCAATACATGAAGTCTTATGGGAGAACAACCAAACAGCTCTGAGGGTGCCATGACGTCATTCCAATGCTTTAGTATGGGCGCTTTGGGGCAGAGTCCAAAGCTGCGCGCGCACTCTTAAATCAGGGCAGCCAACACAATTTGTATATTCTGTCCGGCTAGCTACCATTATGATGGGTAGAACTGATGTTGGCGCACCTGTTTGTCATAACTCAAACATTTCTAAAACTAGAAATTAGAAAACAACTGAGCTAACCTCAAAATGTTATTTTGGTTTGGTGTTGCTGTTTGGTGATTAATGAATAGTGATGTTGAAGTACTGTTCGTGCGTGTATTTAAGCAAAATACTAACACTGTATATTCTTTATTAAATTGATTTCACATCCAGTTTAGTTAAAGATAGGCCTTGCATTTCTGGTTAGTTAATACTATTGAAGTACAATATGTTTTTAGGTTACAGGTATAAGTTGAAATGCAATTTGTTTTCGTAAGCTGTTTCACTTTTATGCTTTCTATTCCTTAATACCTTAGATATTTTATACAATATTATCATTATTTTGGTAATGTTATTTTCAGGACAGACCCATTTGCAGACACTGTAATTAAGTTAAAATACAATACGAGCCTTGGACTTGGAAACAAGATTAAATAAATAAATATATATATATCGTAGGCTAGGCCTATGTGTGTTTGTATTACACATTTAAGCCTTAAACATTTAAAATTATTTGACAAACGTGAATGATGTTAGGCTTTCGTTTATATATAAAAATATGCAGAGCCCTCCCACTACCTTTGAACACCAGCCACTACTGATGGAATTCCTATTTGCAGTACCATAGACTAAGCAACACAAGTAGACTCCTCATCCCATTGTAAATTTTGAAGCTTGTTTTTTGCGTCTAGTTCATGTAAGTCCACACTGATCGCTAGTGTAGACAACATTTTGTTTCTATTATTTTAGGGTTATTTTCATGATTTGTGCTTTACTATTTGGTTATATAACTAGGAGACCAGTTATTGCTTATGATTATATCGTTTTATTAGGTTAAACGAGGTTTTAAATGACTGCAATAACAAGAAGCAAATTGTAAACAAAACATAACCTCTATAGTTGGACGTACAGAACTAACAATAAAATTGGCTTCAGCTGTTCCATTAGGATGACTAATCTACTAAGGGAGTATGTTTTATCTATGGCAGTACCTAATCAAAGTCTGATACGTTTAGTTCACGTAAATGGAAAGTCTACTTGCAGTATCCAAACTCAATGGTAGGCCTATATTTGGTTCACATAAATAGAATGGCTATTTGTACCATTTCAGATTAATACCTTCCCATGGTTGGTCACTATGACTGTGCTAAATTTCGTGCAGATCACTTCAGCCGATCAGGAGGAGTATGTGTAAAACAAAAGCAGGAGTGTAATATTTAAGAGCTTTGCTCCGCTCAAATTGGAAAGACTTTTCTCCTTTTCTTTCTTCCCTCTTCCTTCTGTGTTTATCCTTTTACGTGGCTTGGAATTTCCATCTCTCTCTAACACACCATCTAATACTTCTTTCATTATTAATATTTTAGTAAGAACATGATTTATTTCAACCATCAAACAAAATTGACAAACAACCATAACCTCAAAGGCAGCCTTACATATGACTACTGTAACACACCACAGCAGCTGTCAACTTGGTGACATGATCATAAAGTGCAGCTGTGATTGGTTAGCTGAAGAAATCACTATTTGACTGAAGACCCTTAGGTCTCTTTTATGCACGTTTTCCGTCGGGCAGAATCCATTGGGCGTTCTGTCGGGGAGTTTTTTTAACATGGGATCAAATGGGACCCTGTTATGCACGACAGAATCTCCGTCACGTTTCAGCGTTTCGTCCGGGTCGGGCGGAGGACTTACGCTCCGCAGAGTTTCGGAGTTCTGTCGGGGTGTTTTTTACATAGGATCAAATGGAACCCTTTTATGCCACGGTGTTTTCCATCTGGCGGAATGCAGCACTGCCAACCTACCCCGTGCTCTGTATCGAAATCGCCTAACCATTGTAAACAGATGATCATTGTAATAGATCGAGGATACAGCTAAAGAAGTGATATACCTAATTGCAAAAAAAACTTACATGGCGAGTATAAACTTTTTTGTTTAAATCCTCGAAATAATAAAATAATTTCACAGCACACCATATAAGTTTGCAAAAGCTCCATGCTCCATCCAGTCTACGACTTTGATTCACCGGGTGTACAGCCCACCTCCTTTCTCGCCGTCTATTTTCTTCACACATAAATAGTTCAAAACCGATAAACCGGTTCTTTCTTGTCTTGTGTGACTGATGATGGCCAAATTACCAGCACTAGCATCCCCCCCCCCAGGGACATCTTAAAAACCCAGCGGAAAAACTGTGTAAAAGGGGCATAGGTGCATAAAAGTGTCCTTACCGGGAAAACAATTTTTTTTTATTGAAACGTCTATCTTTGACATGGATTTGAAATAGGAGAAGGCATGTATTGATCGAAAGTAACAGTGTCTTCATGTATATGCATAAAGTTGTGTCAATAACTAAAAAAAATGTTTAGGCATGGTTTAATATCTGCTCCCTTAAATAGTAAATAATATTTTAGAAAGGCACAAAAGCAAAACTATAACTATAATAATTACTTAAAACAGCTTTATGCTCTACAAACAAACAAAGAGAAAAAGCTCTTGACACACGGTTTGGGTGATTTTCAAAATTGTTTGCTAGCCTTGGGAAAGGAAAAACCCCCAAAGTAAATCAAGTTAATTGTAAGCTACAACACTAACCTTGATTGAGGACTCTCCACTGGTGCTGGTAGAAGGTGCAGCCAGAACGTACTCTCCCTTGTCTAGGGCAGAGGTGAAGTTAGCCTGACACTCGGCTGTCACCCAGTGTTTGGTCAATAGATGAGCCTCTGACACCAGTGTAGTCTCCAGTCCCATCAGTAGGCTGTGTCTCAGCAACATCTTGGTCTCATTCATTGCCTGTCACACACAACAGCATCAGCACTAGAGAGGAGCAATATGGTCATTGGACACTCAGGGATGGGAGTAGAATAAATTACTGACAAACCATCTAATGAAGCCTCAGCCCAGACCTTATTTGGACCTATGTGGAATCTCGTAGGTATGCTTGTCAGTCAAACATATGGGCTCAGGAAGAAACAGGTAAGTCTTCCAAGATCAGAGGATAAGCAAGTCACTCTCACTCTCCAATTCATCTCAGTTAAGTCCAATTACAACGATTCTTAACAGACAGGCAAGACAGATCACAGGTCATGGCTTCCTAAAAATGCACCTTTATTGATTAATAATCCACAATGGAGACAGAAAATGTGAGCAGTCTGAGAACAATGCAGATCATTAACTTTATGACTACACAGCCCTGAATGAGGTAAGGGAAAACACTTAAGAATTATAAAAAGGGGCAGACATCTGCCTTAAGAGGAGCTCATAGGACAGCATGCTACAACTCATAGGGCAACTAAAGTTTGACAGTCTTTGCAAGGCCCCACTAGAAAAAACAGGCCATGCTGCAGCGCGGGCAGCGCAACACTACGTCACAGTGGTGGATAGTTGTACTAAACTCTTACCATTAAAATCTTACAAACAGCCAGCTTGTTTATTTACTTCTTAAAACATATGGGAATGGTGATAGCAATGAATTTATCAATGAAATCTATCCACTAGTGTGACGTCATGGATCCTGCAGCATGGCCTGCTTTTTCTAGTGGGGCCTTGGTCTTTGAGGCATAAAACTGACTAGATCTAGCTACCAGCTGTTTCCTGAGTCTACGATAGCTGAGAAAAACCAGTATCTTTTTGACGGTTCAAAACTAGTCCTGGTTGTCTTTTGACAACTGAGCTTTTGATCAAATAAAGGGACAAGCAATCTTAGTCAGTAATAAAGCGTTTATCTCATTCATTGAACCCTCAATTTTCATTCATCTTTGTATCAAAGTAGACACTTTGGTATCAGCACTGTACAAATCTTATGACTAAAATAAGAACAACCATTTGTGTTACTGTATATGCATTGTTATTTGCAAAACACTTTCATCCAACTTACTAATTTTTCACTAGATTATTGTTTGAACCAAAAACGCAAAACTACAAGTATTAAAAAATTCAATATTAACAAAATAAACAAATTTTTCAACTGGTCATAAATAAAATTATTGGTTCTAATTAATTATTGCTGACATAACAACAAAAAATTGAATCATTTGTTATCTTCTATATACAGGGTAACTTCTTATGGGGCACTCCCCTTTATTTTTTTGGGATGGTTTAGAATTTTAAAAAGCTCCTAAACTAAAACTCCTAAACGGGTAGCTTTAAATAAAAAAGGTCAAGAATAAACATGTCTTTAAATATAATCTACATTATAAAACAATCACATACAGAGTGTTCCATAAAAAATAACTAAGTTGTCAGCCATATTGGAAAAAGGCAGATATAATTTGTTAAATAAATTAAAAAACCATCCCAAAACAAACCCTAAAAAATAAAGGGGAGGGCCCCATAAGAAGTTAACTCTATATCTCATAATAAAAAAGTTAGCTATTGGTTCACTTTAAGTGAGACACTCTGTAATGGAGCTTGCAGTAAACTATTTTAATTCATCCAGAATAAATATCCGGATTTTCAATGTATGCTTATACATTAAACCCGACTTGACCCGAGACAGATTTCTCTCCGTTAGAAGTGCAAATAAACAACAGTTACTGACCACAAAAGGCAGAAGGCAATTAGCATTGTGACTAGTGGGATAGGTGAATGGAGGGCGCGGAGCCAGATGGTCAACTGACAGGTTGATTTAAATATAATGCAGCAGATGTCAGCAGGTGTGTGTGTGTGTGTGCGTGTGTATGTGTGTGTTTCCAGCAGGTACACTCCCCCCTCCACTTCCAGCAGAGCCCATTCAACATCCACCACTCCAGTTATTAATACTCTGCAGTGTAGTGTGTTGTGATACTCTAGAATAGACCAGTGTCAAGATGGTCTGCCGTCACATCTTGCTATCTTTGGTTGCAGTTTATGTTTATGCTTCCGAGTATCACAGTATTGTAGAAAAAGTTGTTTATAAATACCCTGGAAAAGTGAGTACTGTACCACCTAAACCACAAACCAGATCAAACCAAATTAGTTTCAGGGTATATATTTTAATTAGCCAAGATATATTTAAGTGATATATAAGTATTAAATAGAATGTTGGTTTGCATATTTAGCAGTGATCAACTCAGACACCGCTGGACCGATGGCCATGAATCTTGGTACATACAAGTAAAATTTCATGGAGTAGGTTTACACACTATCAATTTCGCGATCACTTTCAGGGTTTGGCCCTGGAACCGTCTTAAAGGTGTATGTCAGGCATTTTGAAAGAATCTTAGTTAGATTTGCTTACTAACAAAACAAATGCAAGTAAAATTAAAACCAAGTGATATAAATTAATGGTATGTTTTGTTCTGCTATTTAATTACATTTGTTTATATGAAGATTTGTTTCTTGGTGCCATGTGGTTAATGAATTAGACCTTTGCATATATTTTAAATTCAATATCTATATCTATAAAAGAGTAACTATGTATGTATGTATGTATGTATATATGTATATGCGTTATGGACTCCAAAACCGCTCGACAGATTGTAATAAAACTTTCAGGCATTATTAAGCATCTTTCAAGGATGGTTTGTGTGAAGGTTGGTGCAGATCCGTCAAAAGGGCTCCGCCCCAGAGGGTTTTAAGTGGACCAATGTCAGACTTTTTGAACTACAATGTTTACAAATAAATATAATTCAAAAGCAGATGTTTACTTTCACCAACTGTTTTGTAGGTTTGAATAATCACAACATTCTGTATTAGTCATGATTTTAAATAGTGCCAAAATGTTTCTACAGAGTGCAGCACAGAAAACTGTTTTAATTTTAAACTAGAGGACCCGTGCTGCTCTGCAGCATTGAAATTTATTTCAGAAAATCTTAAGATAATTTATTAAACTGAATATTAGTGTTAACATTTTACTCAAATTAATAATTTACTAGTGTACATGTTGCTCGAATTCGAGCAATTGCAAAGTATTACAGGAGTTATTTTAAAACGAATAACAGTCATATTTACCATTAATTTAAAAGAGTCAACTCAAGATTACCGGAGTGTAACTCAGACCATGTTTATCTTCGTTATTGACAAACCTAAAGCATTCCTGCTGGTTTTCTCCTCCTCAAAATGCCTCGCTGTACAGGCAACACAGGTCATTGATATAGGGCCAATTGAGAACGAAAAGTCGTTTTGGGGTAGTGTTAGGACGCATTTGTAGCCTAATAGTTGAGATTGTCCAGGGTCAGGTGCTGACTGTGATGAGTTAAGCCTATTACGCCGATTACGCGCCACTGTTCTGTAGCTGCGGTCGTTATCACGATTACGCCTCCTGTCTAAGTTTCGTTGTCGTCACGTCGGAGGCATTTAAAAGAAAAAAACAACAAATAAACAAATAATAGCTACACAAAACAACGATAAATGCACAAATTTAAGTTACAATCATACTAACACGATCCTTCATATAGCGACACAAAACAACGATAAATACACAACTTTAAGATACAACCATGCTAACACGATCCGTCTTGGGGGTTATGTTTACACAAACTCAAATAGTAAATAAATGTACTCAATGCGTTTCATTGAATTGAAAAATAACAGCAATTAAATTATACAGCTGATCAAAATGTAAACAATTATGTTCTCCATAAGGTTTACATGGGAAATTTCAAAGCCACTGGGGCAGAGCCCAAGGGACTTTTTTAAAAATGTAAGGCCAGTTTGCAAATTTACGCGACACGCTCTTTCCAATGAGACGTCAATGGATAAAATCTGTTAAGAAATGGTGGAGGAGTTCAACCGACAAAGTTTCATGTAGCGTATTAATTATATAGATGTTATAAATAAAAAATTTTTATTTACACCATTACATTAAATAACAAATAAAATATAAATACAAATATTAAATCATCTGCCTTTACAACACTTCTCTCCATTAAATATTCAATGTGCGTTGGTTTTTTGGTTTTATTTTCACTTTAACTTTTTCAAATGATTTTCTTCTCGATAAGGCGACATACAGCTGACCATGGCTAAAAACTGGTTCAGGCAAGTAGACTCCAACCCGATCAATTGTTTGCCCCTGCGCTTTATTAATGGTAATGCAAAATGCTACCTTAATTGGAAATTGTCTTTGCTTGAAAGAAAATGGCACAGTTGTATCTGAAGGCGAAAGATCAATGCGCGGCAGGAGTACACGTTGCCCGATGTTCTTCCCCGTTATTATAAGCCTTGTGCCATTTAAAAGACCTGTTGTATAATTTAAAAAAAGCAAACAATCAAACTTATGGGGAATAATACTGAAGGACCGAGTGAATTTAGTGTAAAAAAAAACTTAATTTGATAAAAAACGTAAAGAGAAAAATGAGTAAGACTTATTAGAAAGAATTGAATTGTTGGAATGAAAAATACAAAAGTACATATGATTGATGTAATGTTGTTAAACATTTGTAAACAGCTGACATAGAGGAATATAATTATTGTTTATTCCTTTACAAAGAGTAACTTTTCCTTATCATATCAAATTTATGTTTTTTGATTGAGTAATACAGTATTTTGAACATAACTGATACGAACGATCTATATCTCAAATGAAAGCTTGTATTTCTAGGAGTATTTTAAGAACAAAACATATAAACGAACTAAAATAAAAATGGGGTTATTGATCACTGCTCGTTGGTAAATCCCAAAATAATTACATTTTTTATTGTTTGGAATTCAGCAGCGCGCTTCCGGTACCTCAATAATTGGTATCTCAATAATCAAGGGCTCAAATGAAAGCTGGTATTTCACTGAAGGTTCTTAGACCAAAACATATAGGATTACGTAATTATAACTGAGGAAATATATCTTAAATTGAAGTAACAATAAAAAAAAAAATC